GCTAAAGCGAGAAATGCAGTCGTTATCTGTGCACTTCGCGCGGTGCTTTAAGAACGAAGAATACTTTTGTTGTTTGCGCACTTCGAGCGGTGCTTTTATAACGAGGAATACTTTTGCTGTTCGTACACTTCGAGCGGTGCTTTTAGAACGAGGAATTCTTTTGTCGTTTGTGTGCTTCGAGCGGTGCTTTTAGGAGGAATACAGTTTTGCTGTTTGTGCACTTTGCAAATTGTGTTTTTTTAGTCAAACGAGAAATACTCTTGTTGATTATGCACTTCGCGCGGTGCTTTTAGAATAATGAATTCAATTTCTGTTTGCGCACCTCGTACAGTGCGTTTAAGTAGAGCGAGGAATACATATTTTGTTTGTGTACTATGAGCGTGATCCACTCGGATCGTGGGAGTCGGCACACGAAGTCATAAAAGACTCCAAGTCAGATTCACGTATAGTCTGGAAAACTTTACAACTTGTGAATTCAATTGAACGCTCGTGTGGGTCGTGCGGATCGTTTCACCGTCATGACCAAAGATTTAAGATTTAGAAGCACGGTTTGAATAAATTATTTTTGCACTTGATGCGCGCGGTTTGCTTACGCTTAATTATGATAAACCCTCTCGTATTTTTCTATTTATGTTATTGAGACTTAATCGCATGATTTTTCTCGTACAATTTGGAATAAGTAAGCACTTGTTAATTTTTTCAAAGACCACAATTTTGTTTAATGTACTCGTGCTTATTTATTCCAAATTGCACTCGAAATCATGTGATTACCTATACCAATAAGATGCATGAAAAAGTTACTCAGTTCTGATTGGTTAAGATAAATGCAGTTTTCAGGTAGTTCAATGCAGAAGAGGGTTAATTCAGGGCAAAGAAGTAACAAACCAGACAGAACAATTCTTGAACTGTTAAGCCGGACTTTAAACCTTTTTGCGCCTTAAGGATGTTAAAATATCATTGTACATTATCGAAGGCGGTTGTTTTGACCGATCAGACAATGTCACCTGCAGGGTTTGAATAAATTATTATTTCATTTGATGCGTGCGCTTTGCTTCTGCATAATTATGATAAGCTATCTCGTGTTTTTTCATGTCTATCATTAATACGTTATCACATTATTTTTCTCATTTTGTTAGTCTTTGAAAAAATTTACTCATGCTTACTTATTCCAAATTGCACTCGAAATCATGTGATTACCTATACTAGTAGGACAGTGTACGCGTCATGCTTGTAATTGGACAGTGTGATAGGACAGTTAAAAGGGACAGTTAACACGCCATTCCTGTGTAAGCGGACAGA